CTCTGAGCTAGAAGTGCTTCAATGAAAGAAAGTTAAAATAAAAAGCGTGTTTGCTTCGGCTGGCGTTGACTTCCGTGCCTGGCGAGTGTTTGTCTATTAAATAAATATTATTAACCGGCTTGAGGCCGAGCTAGTATGTGTATCAGGCCAAGTTAATTATATGCGAAACACAAAAATCCACTCGATTCTATTTACTCATATCATCCAGCCACATAACGCGAGAGCAAAGCAGATTAATGCGACGCATGCCAAGCGCAAACAGCAACAGGTTCACCAAGGCAGGGGGCGGTGCGGGGCGGTGCGGGGCGGTGCGGTGCGGTGCGGTACGGTAGTTCAGGGCTTGACCGAAGCGCGTATAAGGTTGACAGAGCTATCGAAGCTAGTAGACTACGAATCGCATTAACACACTCGAACAATACATATGGAGTATATTGATGAATTGGTTGACTCATGATTTCCGACTCGCCGTTGATTTGCATACACGTCGCTAGTATGGCCAGGGGCGGTACCGGTTTAATTTGATTTGATTTAGCCAAGCTAAACTTGAACGCAATCCAGCAGCGAGTTTATTGCAATGGCAAATGGAATTAATTATGGTATCGTGTCGACGTATACGGCGCCTATGATCACCTACAGTCAGGCTCAGAGATAGAGCAGAGAGAGAGAGAGAGAACGAGAGAGAGAGAGATAGGCGCAGCTCATCGTGAGTCGATGAAAAGCTACGGCAATAGGCCCGCCTAAGACCTAAACACGTTTAAAGCCATTGCCGGTACAAAGAGCCAGACATATACATATATACATGCATATACCTATATACTATATATATCTGTAACTGCATCTGCATCTGTAACTGTATCTGTGACTGCACTCAGCCGCTTTGACGCCCACGCAAACGTTTTTAGCCTGGCTCAGAGCAATCTCATGGATACACGCAGATAACTATCTAACTGCAGCTCGAGAGAGCTAGGTGTGTGTGTGTGTGCATTCGTATGTCTAATTAAACAAGCGTGTATCTACATACAAACATACAGACATACATACATATATATGCATAGAGATAGATATAGTATAGCCACTCAATATGGTCATACATTATAGATAAATGTCATTTTTGTTTAGCTTTAAATTGCGCATTTGCATTTGCAAAAATACAAAAATATATATATACATATGTGTGTATATATGTATGCATGTGTAAGGCAACAAATATTCCTGCTATTCGCGTTTTGCCTGCCCTACTAAACAGCGAATTGAACTTAAGAGTTGTTTGTTTACCAGACTCTGATAAACACACACACATAGTACATACATACACATAGATATAATGTCCGAAAAAGTCGTGCAAAGACCATTGGGAATTGGGTTCACTGAGAGAGTGAGATAGATAGAGAGAGAGAGAGAGAGAGAGAGAGATGATAGAGAGGAAATATGATCACTGCTTGGGTCGAGTGCTTGGCTTTTTATTGGCTGGACTCACACACACACAAACACACACACACACACACAGCGTATACAAATGTCATTTCAGAGTAATGCCTATGCATATTTATTCATATGTTTATGGCTCTGGTCTGCGTGCCAAGCGCCTTTTGCCATACGAGAAACTAGAAATCTAACACGAGTTTCCCAATTGTCGTTAATAGTTTTTGGCCTGCGGCTGGAACACGTCTCTCTATAATTGACAATCTAAATGCATATACAACTATATGCATGTATGTATGTGTGTGTGTGTGTGTATATAAATGTTAATGCCCTTTGACAGCATTCGAAGCTAGATAACTTATCAATAGTTCATTCGTTTCGATTAGATGTTATATAAGCCAGAACAGGAAATAAAAAAGTCAAGTAAATCTTTATTCACATAAAATGACCAAAAGTAGCTGGAAATATTCCAGTACCCCAAGTACTCATATCCGACTTTCTTTAAGCGAACTCAGGTGGGAAAGTACCTGGAGCTGCAATTGCTTAAACTTTTTGGCAAACAACTGAGTAACAAATTGAAAATATCTAAAGATTCATGCGTTGTTTATCAACGGACACTCGCTGATAAGTAAATAGTTCCAGAGAAGAAACGAAAAATATTAAAAACTGAGTAAAATTCCCCCGTAAAACTGGTCACCCAATCTCGGAGTCGCAGAGTTGAGTATTCCATTCCATGATGTCAACTCTACCCAGTGGTAGGCAGATGCTAATTGAGTTTATCAACAGAAAACCGATGCACGTCAGCAGCTCCATATTAGCCGGATGCTGAGATCAGTGTATGGCATACAGAGATCGTCTGCCTACCTCTTAAAGAGCTCGATCCGCACTGCGCATTGCCAGTGTACTCATATCGCGAGCTATCGAGCTGTTGATTTAATAAACGTTTTGTGGTTATCTCTCTGGTGGGTGGCGATAAGATAAGTTGTCGTATTGCTGGCATTCCTGGTATCGGAATGAGTTCCATGGGCACATTATGTGCAGCTAGAGGAAATAGACTGAAACACTTACCTGCATCTACTACATTTATATAATTTCTCCATCTCTCGCTCTGTCATCCATTGCAGTTAACGAGCAATAAGAATGGGTCGCCAGGCGAGACTGGTGTTGCTGCTGGTCATCTCACTGGGTGTTCTGCATGTAAGTCACTCGAGTGAGTCCGCGGCGACAGTTAAAGCAGCCAAGGTGCTGGCTGATGATCAGCTGAGCAATGAACTGTTCTCCGAGGAGGAGCTGGATGCCAAGAAGGCAGCCATCAAGATATCCACGCCCAAGGTGAAGGAGACACCGCTGGATACGACCACGGCCAAGGCCAAGAAGTCGGAGGTTAGCGAGGAGACACTCAAGGACTTGATGGAGGCGGCCAAGCATTACGAGAGCCTGGCCGAGGATCCGCGCTACAACAAAATGCTGCCGGATCGCCTGAAGCCAGAAAATGCCACCGTCAGCAAGAACAGCACCGAGGAGAGCTACGAGTACGATGACAACTATGAGTACGATGCATACAATTACGACAGCTCCGAGAATGAGGAGGACGAGCAGGATGTCAAGGAGACGACGAGCGCGCGGCCCAAAAAGGCCAAGCCGTCCAAGACGACCACGCCCAAGCTGCATCCCATTGAGGAGAATACCTCCAGCAAGCCCAAGGTAGCACTGCTCCACTGCCCTTCGCCTTATGTATTCTAATTTCTGTTCTCTTCCAGCCCAAGAGCAGCAAGGATATTAAGGAGAATGTGAATGACAACGCCATTGACAGCGAATATGAATATGATGATGACGACGATGACGATGACGACGATGATGACGATGAGTAAGTGAGCGATAGCAAATGAGCTCATGAAGCACTTTATCTATATATATGGCAATGGCCATGCGTAGCTTGAGTTCTTTTCCATGTTCTGTACAAATTGAATTCTACTTCCAGTTCCGACGAAGATGACGAAGTGGACAAGATGGCGGACGAGGAGGAGGTTACCTTCAGCGAGAACGTGCCATGCCCCAGATATTGCACCTGCTCGCGCAACATCAACAGCTACCTGGTGGCCACCTGCAGCAGGTGTGTAAATAGATCAATCCGTTGCACTTTTGACCTTCATATCAATTGACCCTTTGATTTTTTAGACTGGATTTGGGCACTCAGAAGTTCGGCTCGGATATTACCGACTTGGTGGTCACAAATGTGGGTCCCAAATATCCCATCTTGCTGGGTCCCAAGTTCTTCCAGAAGCTGGGCCTGAAGTTCGTGGCCTCCATCAAGATCGCCAATTGCACCGTTGAGTATGTGGACGTAGAGGCGTTCCATGGCCTGGACGATCTCTATGCCGTCAACATGACTGATGTCGGCCTGGGCATCATTAGCCCCGATACCTTCGCTCAGAACAAGAAGCTGCGCATGGTGACCGTTTCCGGAAACGATCTGAGTCTCATGTCCACGTTCCATTACTTGCTGAAGGTATGCTGGGGATGATCTTTGAATATATTTCGGTTCTCTATTCACAATTCACTTTCCATTTTAGTCATCCAGCATTGAGGAGCTGGACTTTTCGCGCAACAACCTCGGGGAACTGAACCCAACCGCCTTCTCGATGCTCTCCAACATTGTCTACATCAATCTGTCGCAGAACAACTTACAGCAGATACCCGAGAAGGTATTCGCTTCGGTTGAAACAATCGAGGAATTGGATCTGTCCTACAACGCGCTGAAGGAGCTCCCAGCCGGCGCCTTTAACGGCACATCTCTATCGATACTGCACCTGAAATATAACACATTCACGGGCGATCTGCACTTCGGTGTGCCCGAGCTGCAGCAATTGGACCTGAGCTTCAACTCTATTGTCCATGTGCATCACACCATGTTCGAGAAAATGCCTGGCCTGACGAATCTGAACCTGAAGGGCAATGGCATTACCAAGATTCAGACAGACTCGTTCATGACGCTCAAGAGCCTGCGCCACATTGATTTGTCGATGAACGAACTGGACCAGGTGTCCAGCATGTTGTTCTTCAAGAACTCAGAGCTTGATGTCATCCGCTTGAACGATAATCCCCAGCTGAGCCAGCTGCCAACTGACGGCTTCTTGAGCTACAACGGCTACTTCACGGTGTACTACTTGGACCTCTCGAACTGTGCCATCGGCGCTCTGGGCCACAAGACCTTCTCCACCATGCCGCACCTGACGACACTGAAGATGGCCTGGAACAATATCAACAACTTGCCACGCGACACGTTCGCCAGCCTCACCAAGCTCATCGACTTGGACTTGAGCAACAATCTGATCACCCAGTTGGACGAGCTCGTCTTTAGGGAAAACAATGAGCTAACCAAGCTGAACCTGGCTGGAAATCCCATCACCAAGCTGTCTGTGCATCTCTTCAAGCCGCTCCGCCAGCTGCGTTCCCTGGACGTGAATGACTGCGAGCTGACATCGTTGCTGACGGACAAGGAAGCCGGCGTAGGCTATCCGTTCTTCGAAACGTTGCGTACCTTCAATGCCTCCGGCAATTTGATCAAGCGCATTGCCACCTCAGACATTAAGAGCTTCAAGGATCTGCGCTCGTTGGATATAACCCACAATCCGCTGAAGTGCGACAACGACTTCCAGGACTTCATTAGCTATGTATCGCTGCACACGCAGACAATGCCCAAGAAAATGGTAACGATGAGCAATCTGGAGGACATCGCCTCGCTCATTGAAATCGAGACTCAAGTTGGTTGGACGCAGCTCGCACAGGAGGTGTGCAAGCACAGCAACAGCTCAAGCGATGGCGAGGAGGATCTTGAGAGGCGCATCGAGGAGAACGAGAAGAAGCTGGACGACGATGAGAAGAAATTGCTGAGTGTCCTGGACAAGAGTGTTCTGGATAAGAGTAAGCTAAGCAATATGCAGAAGATCATGAAGGGCTCGGCTAACGCTGACGACGACAAGGAGAAGGAGAAGGAGAAGGACTCGGACAGCGTCGAGGAGGAAGACCTGAACAATGGCGGCGAGGAGAAGGAAGACGCCGACAAAGAATACGACGACGACAGTGAAAGCGAATATGATGATGATAGCGACAGTGAAGACGAGGAGGAGCCAATCAAGAAGAGCGACAAGGCAAAGGCCGTCAATGCGGTCAAGAAATATATCGAAACCGAGCTGAAGCCCAAGATCAAGGACCACGGTCTGAAGGTCGAGGAAGTGGATTTGTCCAAGGAGACCAAGGAAAAATTCTTCATTGGTAAGTCGAAGATTTTCATCTAATTTTACTATCTCAGTCCCTAATGCATTGCAATTGCAGATAAATTCGGCCTCGACAGCGACGAGCTGAACAGCGACGAGGAGGAGATCATTATTGAGCGCGGTCGCATCTACTACAACAGCTCCAACTTCCTAATACCAACCATCTTGGCGGTCACCTGCCTGGTGGTCATCCTGATGGGCCTGGCCAAGCTGGTCGCTTTGGTACTGCGCAAGCGCGGCGAGCGCTATCGCATGGCCATACTGGCATCGAAGAACTCCTTCGTGTATCAGAAGCTCAGCGAGGATATTGTGAAGCCGACTACCAGCAAGGAGCCAAAACAACCAAAGGTGCACCGATACGCGCCAATCAATCAGGTCTAAGTCCGTATCGCACGCAGCGAGCAGCTCCCAAGGCTTCGTTTCGCCTCTTTGTTGGGGCGGACGGGGGTGGAGCGCGGTGGTCAAGTGTGTTGCGCTGTTTTTTTAATTTATAAGTTAACTCATAGTTGAGCACGTGGAAAATTGCAGAAACAAACGAAAAGAGCAAATCAGCAACAGGTCATCAAATACAATAATAAAATAACCAAAAGCCATTTCGACTGCGACTCAAACACCAGCTCGAGGCAGGTCGAAACGTTTCGTCGAGGAGCAGCAGGCGGAGCGCGTGAAAAGTATTAGCTAAAAAGAAACAAACGAAACAAAAGAAACAAAAAGAAAACTGAAAGAAATACTGAAATACTTCCCCACTATAATATCTAATTATGTATTCGATATAGCAAATAGGTGTTGTTCTAATGCAGCGAGGGCAAAGGGCAGAGATCGGTCAGCAACCCGTTTCTAGAGCAACGGACACTTAACTGATTGAGTTGCCGTACTCCATATATATATATTTCCATATCCTGTTGACAGATGTCAGATTTTTTGTATACTTTTCTGAAACAGATTTGAAGATTTAGTGCCATTTTGCCGAAATTCACATGCATAATAAAGTCATGAGAGATGAGAAAGAGAGAGAAGATAATTAATACAAATAATAATAATAATTATACAAAAATGAAAACAGTTGGGCAAAACATGGATATATATATCTGTAGATCTGAACCTGTTACAACTCCTTAAAAAAGAACTTTTGATTTGAAAGCTGGGCAAGATAAGTGAACGCAGAGCATATTAATTACTACGTTAAGTCTTTTATTATTATGATACTATCAATCCAATCAATTTGAATGTTGAACTTGCAAATATATTCTGAAATCAATAAATTATTTTAACCAAAACGAACTTAATCTTTACATTGTATTCTAGTACGACTAAATATAATACAAATATTTACTTATTTATGAATTGGACGTGGATCGACTAATTGTATATCAAATAAACATTTTTCTTCAATTTTTTATCAATTTCACACTCTGCATCTTTTTATTGTTAAGCAATCAAGAGTCTACTCTCTTATTACTTTGGCACACAGGGTACACTCCATCGTGATTGTTTACGTTTCAAATTTAGCTTTTGCCAAAATCTCTGTGTGAGCTCTGCAATCTCCTGTTCCCTCTGCAGATCCTCCGCAGTCTGACGCCACATTTTCTCGAATCCACTGTCGCACGGACTGCCGATCTGATTGTGTTGAAATAGTTTGCCAATGCCAGTTGATTCGTGCTGCAGTCGCAGCTCATCGGCTATATCCAACCACATACGGTCGAATTCCTTATCAAATGTCTTGCCCTCAAATTTGCACTCACAGCTGTAGTCGCACATTGAACAATATAACGTATGTATATATAGTCGAAAATTATATTTCACAACAAATATGCTTGCATAATTAACCAATGTCAATAGTCAACTGAATGCCTCCTCGATGCATGCATCTCCTTCACGAACCCAATTTTCAAATATGCTGCCTCTGCAAATACTCAAATGGAAGTTCAAGAGA